TGTTGCATTGATCTGCACACCAACTTGCGCTCTAGACTAGTTGCACCATTCCCACGTTGGACCAAATACTGCAGATGGTAATGCTCAGGGGTCATTTCCTGCAGGAGTGCACAGGAGCGGAGCTCTGGCAGTAAGGAGCCCAGGGGGCGGGCACATGCAACAATCCCCACCCCCTGCTCCCAGCAGCCCCGGGCCATGAGGAGCATGAGGATCTGTGCGTCCCCCCCCCCATAGCTAGCAATCCAAAACAGTCCAGTGGAGCCTGAGCAGTGGGTGTTGCCTTCTGACACACTTCCGGTGATGTCAGGGGGTGTGGCATATGCAAATAAGTTATGCTAATGAGTTATGCTAATGAGCTCCTGCACCTCTTTTTCTACGAAATGACCGCTGGTAATGCTGAGCTAGATACAATCAACTTAAGAGTGCATTTTGAGTGACAGGCTGTGCCTCAGTGATAGAACATCTGCTTGGCATGCAGAAGGTCCCAGGTTCACTCTCTGACATCTCCCATTAAAAAAGCAGTAGGTGATGTGAAAGATCTCTGCTTGAAGCCCAGGAGTCCTGCTTCCAGGCTGAGTAGACAATACTGACCTTCATGGACCACTGGTTCGAGGCAGCAGGGGTCATTTCCTGCAGGAGCGCTCAGGAGCGGAGCTCTGGCAGTAAAGAGCCCAGGGGCACATGCAAAAAGCCCCACCCTCTGCTCCCAGCAGCCCTCAGTCAGAGCAAAAAGCAGCCAGGTAAGTTGCAGAGCCCCCCTGGTCCAAAACAGTCCAGTGGCACCTTTAAGACCAAGTTTTATTCAGGTACAAGCTCTCCCTCCTCTGCGAGGACAGATCTGCACGTCCCCCCCCCCCAATAGCTAGCAATCCAAAAGAGTCCAGTGGAGCCTGAGCGGTGGGTGTTGCCTTCTGACACACTTCCGGTGATGTCAGGGGAGGGGGGGGCGGCATATGCTAATGAGTTATGCTAATGAGCTCCTGCACCTCTTTTTCTACGAAATGACCCCTGTGAGTCAGTATAAGGCAACTTCATTTGTACTTCCAATTGCTCCAATGTTAATATGTATAATAAGCAAATCGAATTTATCTAGGGCCGGAATAACGTCACCTGGGGGGAAAGTATATATTTGAAGCTAAAAGTATCCACCCAGATCTGGCAGAAAGGAAATAGGTATTTTATTAAACAAAGCTATGACTTCTTAAATAATTAGCTGGTTGGTTATTAGTTACATGGAGCTGCGGTGGCTCAAGTGGTTAAGACGCTGAACTGCAGGCTGTGGAAGGTCAGTAGTTCAGCAGTTCAAGACCTGGGTGCCGCAAGACGGGGTGAGTTCCTGTCTCTAGTTCCAGCTCCTGCCAACCTAGCAGTTCGAAAGCAAGAAATTGCAAGTAGATAAATAGGTACCACTTCAGTGGGAAGGTAACAGCGTTCCGTGCGCCTTGGTGTTTAGTCATGCCAGCCACATGACCACGGAAACGTCTTCGGACAGCGCTGGCTCTTCGGCTTTGAAACGGAGATGAGCACCGCAACCCTAGAGTCGGATTCGACTGGCTTTCGAGCAAGGGAACCTTTACCTTTTACCTTATTAGTTACATAGTTACATTGACTTGGATAATAGCCACTCTCTCCGGAGGACGGCGGAAGACAGGAGGGCCTGGCGTGATGTGGCCCATGGGGTCGCGAAGGGTTGGACTCGACTGTGTGACTGAACAACAACAACAACTCCATTCACACTATTTATTATCTGCCTTGAGCTAGTTACTTCCCAAGTGGAAGAAGGGGAAGACAATGTTTGCTGATTCCCCCTCTCATTCCAACTGCCCACTTTGCCTCGCCCCCAGTGCTGGGGGTTCAGTGACCCAGAAGGGCACCATTTCAAGGCTCAGAGAAGACGACTACAGGGGGCAGGGAAAAGTTCTGCTTGTGCTGCATAGGATCCAAAACAATTATCTTGTGAGTCGCCCAAGTGAGTTTTCAAGGGTTTCTAAACACACGACGTGTACATGATTATGTAAATAGGACTCTGATGATGCATATGCGACACCTAGTTGAGTTATCCATCCATCAGTCACATGTTTATCCTCCCCTTCCTGCAAGCACATACTTTTCATCAGTGATTTTGGGCCTCACTGCTGGTTTCAGTCAACCAGGAGTCTGAATGAAGCAAAAACAATTTAGTAGAGGCAGAAATGGAATAATGTGTAGATGTCACCATAAGCAACGAGTCTTTCAGCCATTCTTATCTATCTCCAGACTCCTACTACATCTACATCATCTGAATAATCAACCAGAGGGCTGGGTTGTCTGCACTACAGAGCCTGACCTACTTCAAAGCTGAATGCTTTGGCAGCTGATACTGTTGCTAGCTTGAATCTGCTTAACCATGCAGTACTTGAATACTCTTGTTAATTGGTTTATATACACAGCTTCCATTTGTTTACTTGTTTTCCTCTTCTGTACCCCACTTCTTCCCCCCCCCAAGTGGGGACCCAGGGTGGCTTACAACATTCTCTCCTCCTCCGTTTTCTTCTCATGACAAGCCTGTGAGATAGGTGAGGGTGGCAGCGTGCCTGGCCCAAGGTCACCCTGCAAGCTTCTATGGCAGGGTAGGAATTCGAATCAGGCTCTCGCAGATCCTAATCCACCACCACTCTAACCAGGACTACACCATGCCGGTCCTTTGTGAACAACTCCGTCGTATTCCACTATTGTATTTGTGTTTAATTTTTTATATTTGTTTTAGGTGGAAAACTCCTTTTTTTAAAAAAGTTAGAGCCATAAGAACATTAAAGATGCCCTGCTGGATCAAACCAGTCATCTGTCTTGTCCATGCTTGGAGAAACGATGGCTGAGGGGTGGCATGATTGAGGTTTATATGATTAATGCATGGGATAGAGCAGGTAGAGAAAGAAGGACTTTTCTCCCTTTCTCACGATACAAGAACTCGTGGGCACTCCATGAAATTGCTGAGCGGTCAGGTTAGACCAGATAAAAGGAAGTACTTCTTCACCCAAAGAGTGATTAACAAATGGAATTCACTGCCACAGGAGGTGGTGGTGGCTACAAGCATGGACGGCTTCAACAGGGAATTAGATAAGCATATGGAGCAGTGGTCCATCGGTGGCTATTCGACACAAGGTATAGATAGGGAATCCAGGACAAGTGATGCTCTGTATTCTTGGCGCCTGCGGGGGGCCAATAGTGGGAGGTCTTCTAGTGTCCTGGCCCCACTGCTGGACCTCCTGATGGCACCTGGTATTTTTGGCCACTCTGTGACAGAGTGTTGGATTGGATGGGCCATTGGCCTGATCCAACATTGGCTTCTCTTATGTTCTTATGATCCTGTTTGGCACAGTGACCAAGTCAGGAAGGGCGACAAAGAGGGCAGGAGAGGCTAAGGTGAGGGTGCCCCCTAGCCCTGGTATATTCGTTCATTTGCTGCCTCTGCGCATGGAGGTTGCTTTGAGTCACTAGGGCTGGTAGTCATTCATGGACTTCATGAATCTGCCTAACCTTTTAACAGCCCTCTAGTCTCCCGGCCATCACTCAGTCTTTTGTGCAGACCCCTGTTTTAACCTTCCTCCCAATATCCCTGGTCTCTTCTGCCACCGGCTGTGAGCCGATTCCACCTTACCGCCAAGGCTTCCTCTGAGCTGTGGAGTCTGGTGAGCAAAAATTCTATTTTGAGAGCTACTGGCATTAAAAATTGTGAGCAGGCGATTTGGCTACTGAGTACATTCATTTGCTCTGGAGCCACCTGAACTAAGAAAAAAAATGGGTGAGCTGGAGGCTAAAAAGCTGAGCTAGCTTGCACTAACTCAGCTTAGAGGGAACACTGCTTACCGCTTCATGTGACTGCCCCTGGGCGAGAGAGTCCCTGCGGGTGCCCTAGCAACCGCACATTGCCCGTTCAGAGAGTTGACAGCACAGAGCCCTGCGAGCATAGTGGGGTTTTTTATGTTTTATTTATAAATTTTTCACAATACAGTGTGTTTCATAGATGCATATTCTTACATATTTTTGAGTCTACATTTTCCATGTTTTGTTTATCCATCTATACAGTCCCGTCCATCTTTTAACATATATGTCATCATCTCTCCCTTGTAGTGTTGAACGTATCCATTTCTGCTATTTCCATCAATTTGAATACTATCTCATCCCTTGAGGGAGCCCTGCCAGCCTAGCTGATGTACAGTTTCACTTGACTTTGCACTGGATGGCTGGGCACGTCTTGTTTCCTCTGCTCCCCGGATCCTAACTAGGGTTGCCACTGCAGTGTTCCCTCTAAGCTGAGTTAGTGCAAGCTAGCTCAGCTTTTTAGCCTCCAGCTCACCCATTTTTTTTCTTAGTTCAGGTGGCTCCAGAGCAAATGAATGTACTCAGTAGGCAAATCGCCTGCTCACAATTTTTAATGCCAGTAGCTCTCAAAATAGAATTTTTGCTCACCAGACTCCACAGCTCAGAGGAAGCCTTGGCGGTAAGGTGGAATCGGCTCACAGCCGGTGGCAGAAGAGACCAGGGATATTGGGAGGAAGGTTAAAACAGGGGTCTGCAGGGGGTGGAGCCGGGAGAGGGCGGGGTTTGGGGAGGGGCCTCAGCAGGGTCCAACCATCCAGTCCACCCTTCAAAGCAGGCATTTTCTCCAGGGGAGCCGATCTCTGTCAGCTGGGGCTCAGTTGTAAAATCGGGAGATCCCCAGGCCCCACCTGGAGGCTGGCAACCCTGATCCTAGCCGAGGGGAACCTCTTCTTCCTCTTCTCCGCACATGACGTTCCCCTCCCGGGCCGGACAGAGTCAGACCCCAAGCCTCTCGATCTCGGATCCCTTAACACGATCGCCTCTGATTGCTCCTTAGGGACTGGGATCCTCCTACCGGCGGGATCGGCGGCAGGCGACGCTTGCAGGTTGGGGGTGTGTCAGCTCCCCGCCCAGAACGCACTCAACGGAGCAGCGAAGAGAACTCGCCTGTCCTTTGCAGCCTCGGAGGGAGGGATCCGGAGCCACCATGCCGCCTATGAAAGTCTGCATCATCGGATCCGGGAACTGGTGAGTCCGGGCTGGGGAGAGGGGACCTGTGGTCGGATTCTGCGCCCGAAAGAAGGGGTCTCCTAGCGCAGGAAAGTCTCGACCTGCGGGGAGTGGACGGGACCTTTGGAGGTGCCCAGAAAACGCTGCCTTTTCAGAGAAGGGGGGGGGAGTCCTGAGCAGTGTTCCCTCTAAGCTGAGTTAGTGTGAGCTTGCTCACAGTTTTTTAGCCTCTGGCTCACACATTTTCGTCTTCGCTCAGGAAGGAGGGCTCCAGAGCAAACTAATTTATGCAGGAGCCAAACCGCTCGCTCACAATTTTAATGCCAGGAGCTCACAAAGAAGAATTTTTGCTCACAAGACTCCACAGCTTAGAGGGAACATTGTCCTGAGCAATGCTTCCTCTAGGCTGTGGAGTCTCGTGAGCAAAAATTCTACTTTGTGAGCTCCTGGCATTAGAGTCGCGGGCGAGCCATTTAGCTGTTGCATAAAGTCGTTTCCTCTGGAGCCACCCTTCCTGAGTTAAGACAACAATGTGCGAGCCGGAGGCTAAAAGACTGTGAGCTAGCGCACACCCACTCAGCTTAGAGGGAGCGCCGGTTCTGAGCAATGCTCCCTCTAAGCCGTGGAGTCTTGTGAGCAAAAAGTCTACTTTGTGAGCTCCTGGCATGAAAGTGGTGAGCGAGCGAGCGATTGGGCCGCTGCATCAATTAGTCTGCTCTGGAGCCCTCCTTCCTGAGCTAAAACAAAACTGCGTGAGCCGGAGGCTAAAAAACTGTGAGCTTGCTCACACCAACTCAGCTCAGGGGGAAACACTGGTTCTGAGTGACCCAATTCTCTGCCGTGTGTTCAGTAGCCTTCTCGTGGCTTTCTGCGTGGAGCGGCGGGCTTCTCTTTTTCTGCCTTCACACCTGAGCGGGGAAGGCGAATGCCCCTCTTTTCCTTCCCTCCCCGAGGGAGAGGAGCTCGTAGCCCTCTAAGTGTTCCCTCTAAGCTGAGTTAGTGTGAGCTAGCTCACAGCTTTTTAGCCTCCAGCTCACAGATTTGTGTTTTAGCTCAGGCTGGCTCCAGAGCAAACTAATTTATGCAGCAGCCAAATCGCTGGCTCACAGCTTTAATGCCAAGTTGCTCACAAAGTAGAAGTTTTGCTCACAAGACTCCACAGCTTAGAGGGAACATTGAATCAGGCAGTCCACACTGGAGAATCGACGGGGGGGGGGGTGTCGCAGGGGCAAAAGCACTTGATGGATTACTTCCTCGCCTCCTGTAAACCGCCCCATCCAAACCAGGGTAGGTAACGGGGTTTTTAGCCAACCTTGGCATGAATCCTGAAGGGCGATGTGAGAATTCTCGTGTCTGTTTGTGAGGCTGGAGAATGGCATACTTATGTAAACATTATATTAACTAGCCCGTAGACCAGGGTCTTCTGTAAGAGGCGTCGGGACCTGGTCTAGCTCACCAGTCTAAATGGGAGAGTCACAGTGTAGTAGTTTGGACTAGGGCCCGAGTTCGAATCCCACTCCTTTATAATATCGATGATACGGGATGAAAAGATGATGAGTGAGGGCAGATTAAGTGGTAACAGTTGTTCGGCTCTCAGATGTACGTCTCAACAGTTTGCAAAATAGCACTGGATATTGGCATCCAGACTGCAATGCAATGAAACGTCTTTATGTCATGTTTTCTGCACAGCTAGATCCAAATGGTTTCAGTGGGACAGGAAAGGATACATTGCTTTCTGTTCTGGCTTAATAGACAGGAAAGGATACATTACTTTCTGTTCTGGATTAATAGTGTGTGTAATAGGGACGCTGTAGGGACGTATATTGTTGTTACTGTATATTATTATCATTACTGTTGCTTAGCATAAGTTATCTTGGAACCCCATCTTGAATCTATAGTTAAATATCCTTGGAGCACCGTGGAAGGAATTTTTAGTGAATTGTATTTATTGTATTTTATACTGTTTTGTGTTGTTTTATTGTTTTAACTTCGGCATTTATGCCCCTTGTGAGCTGCCCTGAGCCTTTGGGGAGGGCGGGATATAAATTTAAAAATTAATAAATAAATAATAATACACACACACACACACAGAGGGAGGGCATTTACAACTCAGCTGTCCAAAGTAACATCTTTTAAGAAAGGATGTCTAGTACACTCTTACAGTTTTCTCCAAAAAGGAAAGAGATAAAATAATAGCGGACAGATGCGCCTCCCATATACTGACTCATAGCATTACTCTGTCAAGGTCAGTCTTTTCTACTGGTGCTCGCAGGATAGATTTTTCACATTACCTCCTGCCTGACTCTTTTAGCTGGAGATTCTAGGGACTGGAGGTGAGACCATCTACGTGCAAAGCACATGTTCTGCCACTGACCCATGGCCCTTCTCAGTGTGGAATCTGCTTTATGTGGTGTCACTATAGACTACAAATGTTAAAGTCGGGGGGGGGGATGTTAAAATGGGTTGGAATTTTTAGGAGACGGGGGGAGGACCTCCTGTGACTTATTTTGCTCTTTCGGAATGAGTGGAATTCTTTTAAAATGAGGTTTATTCACTCAAAACATATAACATGATGATTTTTAGGCAAGAGCATTAGAGAATAGTCATTCCTCTGTATACTATGGACGTATACAATATACATTTTAAAGGATATGCTTATTGCTCAATTGTGACTAGTTTGTTCACAATTAATGTGATATAATGTGTATGATGATGATGATGTGCTGTTGAAGAGTTCGGTGTTTTAAATATTATAAAGTGTATCCAACTCCACTGCTGGTCCTGTTGCAACTGTATGAGCCTGCTTCTGTTCAAATAATATACTGACTTAACATAAGAACATAAGAGACGCCAATGTTGGATCAGGCCAAAGGCCCATCCAGTCCAACACTCTGTATCACACAGTGGCCAGAAATACCAGGTGCCATCAGGAGGTCCACCAGTGGGGCCAGGACATTAGAAGCCCTCCCACTGTTGGGCCCCCCAAGCACCAAGAAGACAGAGCATCACTTGCCTCAGACTGAGAGTTCCTATCTATACCTTGTGGCTAATAGCCACTGATGGACCTCTGTTCCATATGCTTATCTAATTCCCTCTTGAAGCCGTCCATGCTTGTAGCTGCCACCACCTTCTGTGGCAGTGAATTCCAAGTGTTAATCACTCTTTGGGTGAAGAAGTACTTCCTTTTATCCGTTCTAACCCGACCGCTCAGCAATTTCATGGAGTGCCCATGAGTTCTTGTATTGTGAGAAAAGGAGAAAAGTACCTCTTTCTCTACCTGTTCTTTTCCATGAATAATCTTGTAAACCTCAATCATGTCACCCCTCAGTCGTCTTTTCTCCAAGCTAATTGATAAACACAGGATGTGATGATGGCCACTAGCTCAGGTGGCTTTAAAGTGGAATAATACGGAGAACAAGAAAAACTGTGAAAAAGTGACGCTTAATATATGTCTTTAAAGAATCATAGAAAAGTGAACAAAAATAATATACATAATCATAGAAAAATATATTGACGGTGATCTCCGGAATGTCTTGCCGTTTCGAAGGAAGATCTTCTTCTGAACAAAGATGTGGGACAAAAACTGTCTCTCAATAGTTCATATCCTCTGGTGACGTCTCACAATTATCAGGGAAGATTTTCAATAATCATAACAGCTGTTAACCTTGCCATGGCAGGTTCTACTATACATTACATTGAGAGACAGTTTTTGTCCCACATCTTTGTTCAGAAGAAGATCTTCCTTCGAAACGGCAAGACATTCCGGAGATCACCGTCAATATATTTTTCTATGATTATGTATATTATTTTGGTTCACTTTTCTATGATTCTTTAAAGACATATATTAAGCGTCACTTTGTCACAGTTTTTCTTGTTCTACGTATTATCTCATTACTGTGCCAATCAATTGTTATTTTAAAGCGGAATAGACAATTTCACGGAGGAAGATGTCTAGCAACAGTTGCTAACCATGAGGATTAAACAGAACCTCAATATTCAGTGATAGTTTACCCTGAGTGCCAGTCAGTGGGCAACAACATCAGGAGAAGACTATTGTCTTCATGATTTGCTTGTAGGTTTCATGGAGGCATCTGGCTGGCTATTGTGGGATACAAGATGCTGGACTAGATGGATGTTTGGCTGTATCCAGCAGGGGTCTTCTTATATTAATCAAATGATAATATATACAAAGCCATAACTGTAAGGCAAAAAGCCAATAAATGTAATGTAAGAGACAACATGGTGAGTATCAGCAAGAAGAGCAATGGATTCATTCTTGTTCTCAGTCTTGCAGTCTTGTCTGATCAGCTAATTCTGTCTTTGAAGTAGACAATGTTCTTTCCTCTTTTTTTTGCATGAACTGTCAGCATGTTTATTTGCATCCCTTACTTTCTGATTGATGGGCCCATAACCTGTATACTAATCTGACAACTTTCTTCTTTCCTCACCTTTTCATACTCGGTTTTGTATATGCACAAGTTTACCTGAAGAGTTAAGCCTACTTTCACATTCTTCAAGGGAACAGCACATTTAAATGCAGATCTCTATTTTCTTAACATCCAGTTTGGGCATTCTAGAATAATGTGTCTCTGGTGCCTACATTAATGAAAAGAACACGATCCTATATTGAGACTAACTATAGATACAGGATCTACAACAACACTAGTTATACAATAGCAGTACACCTCCTAGTGTACTTTTTTTTTTTTGGCAAACTATAGAACTCCTCTACCCTTGGAGCTTCTCCATAATCAAAACCTGAGCAGTTTTGCAAAACACTGTAAGCCAATGTTTGGGTTGGCTGTTATGGGTCAGTCATTTAAACTGATAGGAAATACCAGGGGTCATTTTGTAGAAAAAGAGGTGCAAGAGCTCATTAGCATAATGCATTAGCATAATTTATTTGCATATGCCACACACCCTGACATCACCGGAAGTGTGTCAGAAGGCTCCACTGGACTTTTGGATTGCTAGCTATTGGGGGGGGGACACACAGATCTGCCCTCACAGAGGAGGGA